AAATGAAGAAGACGAGTTATTAATACTTACGCAAGAAGCTTTGATGAAGGATAGCTCTAAAATCGCCTAGGTGTTGTGGAGAAGATGAACTCGTGTGTTTTGGGTGAAAAATCCCGTTACTGGTCTGTTTTTAGGCTTTAAAAATAACTGGGCGAATTTTCCCTACGCGATCGCGGAAATAGGGGTGCAATCGCGGAAGGTCCCACTGACTGGTCATCGCGTCGCGTGGATGGTAACGCGAACGCGTAGAAGAAATACTGGGGTCCAAAAGTTTGGTCTATGCGAGCGCGAGTCTACTGGTGCGAACGCATTGAAGGAAATGCTGAATCTATGCGATCGCGTGACCGAGTACACGAACGCGGAAGAGAGAAAAAGCCAAGGAACGTGAACGCGGGCTGAAGATTGCGATCGCGAAGGAGGGAAACACCTGTGGCCAAAAGTTGAGATTTTCTCAACTTTCTCTAAGGCCAAATATCCCAAACCACCTCCGAATCACTCCCGAGCCTCGGGGCTCCCAACCAATCACACACACTAGCTCAACACACATCCTACGAACTTACTCGAGCGATCAAATCGCCAAAACAACATCAAAATCAATGAATCAAAACCTCAAAATCATCATTTTTTCATTCTAACTTCACAAACTTCAACTTTAGATATTTCGGTTCGAAACACGCCAAATGACGTCCGTTTTCGACCAACTTTACTGAAAGTGCTTAACATGATTTAAGAGCTTTGTACCGGCGTCGGAACCAAAATACGAGCCCAATACCTAGTATTTTAATCAATTTTTCATTTCCATTTTCCTTAATAATTTTAGAAAATAATTTCACAGAAAAATTCTTTTACTCGGGTTCTAGACCTCGGATTTCGACTCCGGGCACATGCCCGGTTCCCATATTTTTCTACGGACCCTCCGGGACGTCGAAATCACGGTCCGGGTCGTTTATTCAAAATGTTGACCGAAGTCAACTTTAAATCATTTAAAGCCATTATTTTGAGATTTTCCACAAAGTTTAACATATAATCTTTCGGCTACGCGCCCGGACTGCGCACGCAAATCGAGGCAACTAAAGGTGAGGTTTTCAAGGCCTCGACAGCACGAAAAAGAGAGAAATCCGGTGATGACCCTTTGGGCTCACATTCTCCACCTCTAAAACAACCGTTCGTCCTCGAACGGACAAAAGAAGAGAAGTACCTGAGTCGGGAAATAGATGAGGATAGCGGCTCCGCATATCAGACTTGGACTCCCAGGTAGATACCTCGAGAGGCTGACCTCCCTCCACTGGAACACGCACTGAGGAAAACTCTTCGACCTCAACTGTCGAACCTGCCGGTCTAGAATAGCTACCGGCTCCTCCTCGTAGGACAGATCCTTGTCCACTGGACAGTGCTGAAATCTAACACGTGGGTTGGATCGCCGTGATACCTCCGTAGCTGGACACATGAAAACTGGATGCACGGCTGACAAGGCTGGGCGGCAAAGGCAAGTCTGTAAGCCACATCTCCTACACGATCGAGAATCTCAAATGGGCCAATGAACCTAGGGCTAAGCTTGCCCTTCTCCCAAATCTCATCACGCCCTTCATAGGCGACCATCTCGGAGCAACCGCTCACCAACCATGAAAGCTACATCTCGAACCTTACGATCCGCATAACTCTTTTGCCGCGACTGAGCCGAAGAGCCTGTCCTGAATGATCTTGACCTTTCCAAGCCTCCTGAACTTAAATATTTACCCAATAACGAGCCTCTCCCGGCTCAACATCCAACTGGAGACCGACATCGCCTACCATACAACGCCTCATATGAGCCACTGAATGCTGGACTGGTAGCTGTTGTTGTAGGCGAACTCTGGCTAAAGGCAACGAAACTGGTCCACGAGCCTCTAAAATCACATGACACAGCTCGGAGCATATCCTCTAATCTGAATAGTCCTCTCGGACTGGCCGTCCGTCTGAGGATTGGAATGCTGTGCTCAACTGAACCTGGGTGCCCCCAACTCCTGCTGAACTGCTCTCGCAGAAGCGCGAGGTAACTGCGTACCCCGGTCCAAAATGATAGATGTCGGCAACCCCATGAAGGCGAGCAATCTTTCGAATGTAAGATCTCAGCTAACCTCTCCGATGAATAAGTGGGCTGCAACAGGAATAAAAATGCGCTGACTTGGTCAGCCTATCAACAATGACCCAAATAGCATCAAACTTCTTCCGAGTCATCGAAGTCCAGTAACGAAATCCATGGTAATCCTCTCCCACTTCCACTCGGAAGCTCAATCCTCTGAAACAACCACCAGGCCTCTGATGCTCATCCTTAACCTGCTGACAGTTCAACATCGAGCCACATATGCAACAATATCTTTCTTCATCCTATCGCACCAATAATGCTGCGCAAGTCCTGATACATCTTCGCAGCGCCCGGGTGAATAGAACACCGAGGAACTATGGGCTCCGCTAAGATCAACTCTCGAATCCCATCGACATTGGGCACACAAACTCCGCCCCTGCAACCTCAAAACACCCTCATCATCTAGTCACCTTCATGGCACCTCCACGCTGCACCGTGTCTCTCAAAACACTAATGGGGCAATCAAACTGCCGATCACGGATACGCACCAATAATGAAGAACGAGCGACCGACAAGCTAATACTCTGCTAGGCTCAGAAATGTCCAACCTCACAAATCGATTGGCCAGGGCCTGAATATCCAAAGCAAGCGCGTCTCTGGCTGACCGGAACATAAGCAAGACTACCTATGCTGGCGGACTTCGTGCTCAATGCGTCAGCCACCACATTGGCCCTCCCGGTGGTACAAAATAGTAATATCATAATCCTTCAATAGCTCCAAACCACCTCCTCTGCCTCAAGTTCAACTCCTTCTGCTTGAACAAGTACTGCAGACTCTTGTGACAGTGTTGTCACGACCCAGATCCACTACGGGTCGTGATGGCGCCGGATACCGCTGTCAGGCAAGCCAACTAAATCACCAAAAAAATTCTTCTTTTATACTTTGAAAACCTAGGAGTTTATCCATTCTTTTTCTATATAAAACAATCTCTGTTTTCAATTCAAATGAAGAAATTAACTATTAATACACATCTTCAAAGAAAACCATCCCAGAACCCGGTGTCACAAGTGCATGAGCAACTACTATAAGGAAAATAAAATACAAATGTCTGTCCGAAATACAGTGGACATACGAATCAATAGATAAAGTACTGGAAGGGGGCTACTCTAAGCTGCGGGTCGTCGAACAATGTGGCTCACCAAGTTCCCAAATCATCTGTGTTGCTACCTAAAGTAACATATATCTGTGCAACAAAAATGCACAGAAGTGTAGTATGAGTACGTATCAACTGTACTCATGAGTATCCCGCCTAACCTCGGAGAGGTAGAAGACGAGATGGTCAACCTGGACACTCACTAGCGGTCGAATAATAATATATTAAATGTGTGGGAAATCATGGATTCCATATAGCATGTTCTAATTCACAAGCTGTAAAACAAGGTAAACACTTTTTAACAATTTTACAAAGGACTTTCAAGATTTTACTTTTCTTCATTTAATCAGTTCATCTTAAGCATAGAAAGGCAGTGTCATCATTTAAGATTCCTCATGATTCAGTATATAAGAATCATGGCGCAAATCATACCGAGGCGACGGCCCGATCAACAGAAAGTAAATGTGCACTTGCCGAGGGTCGACGGCGCGCCTATAGATGCATTTAATCTGCCGAGGCGTTCGGCCCGTTCAAAATAAACACACAGATAGACAGTCAGTCAATAAGTCAACTATGGAGCAATTACCAAGAAAGGCCAATTTTCTTTAAATACTCTAGGAAGCGAAGCTTAAGTCTTTTAGAAATCCCATTTATAAATTTAATGTGATTAAGCAATCGAAACCCTCAAAGGTTCACAATATAATCCAAATATACATGCTCAAATCATCAAGTTAAGAACTTATCAGGGAGTGTTTATCGATATATTATATAAATTCCTCTTTTAACAAAAATTTTACAAGTAAGGTTAAATCTCTTTTGAAAATTCATTCACAATTTCATGTGACACAAGCAATTTGAGGCTATCCAAGAATTTACAATTAATTCAAGTATTCATGCTTTTGGGTCCTAGCTACCGACAATAGCAAATAGTAGCTACGCACGGACTTTCGTCACCTCGTGCGTACGTAGCCCCCGCAAATAGAGCACATGACCAATTTAACTCCACCTATGGGGTAAATTCCCCTCACAGATTAGAAAGGAGACTCACCTCGCTCCGAAGACTCATAACGGCATTCTACATTCTTCGAAGGCTTTGAACCAACGCACATTGCTCCAAAACTAGCCAATTAACGACAAACTAATAAGAATATCTCTCAATTACTTGTTAACAATGCAAATTATACCAATTCCCAACTCTACTTAGAGAAATGACCAAAATGCCCTCAGGCCTACGTGCCCGGAATCCAAAATATTCTCGAAGACAAAGGTTACCCATGACCTTAGGAACGCAAATATATGATTTTCTCTTGATTCCATACTCAAAGTCGTAGCTGAATTCCAAGAATATGATTTTCTAGTTTTTCCACTAAAAACCCCACTTTTTATACTAATTTCACGCCTAAATCCATGTATAAACCTTGTAATTTAACTCAAAGCTAGCATAAAATTACTTCCTTCATGACAAGTTAC